AAAATAGTCTAAATTTGTATTTATTGCAGAAAATTATTAACTTTTCATCCAATGGAAGTTTAACTGTCTTCAAAAAAATTTTCAGACCGAAATCAACATCTGAAAGTATTGCTAGGAAAGCAACGCATTAGCAGACGTTTAGAGAATAACGATCATTCGAAACAAATATTGTAGAACTATCAGCATTGAGTTTGCCTCACTAGGTTTAGTGTTTAAATATGCAGCTTCTACAGGGAAGGCTTTTAACTATTAATCTTAGACACTCAATCAACAGTGAAATCAACCTTTTCCTAATTAATATTCCTAACTTATGCACCCGTTTCATTGGAAACACGTAAGGAAACATGTTCGTGATCACTCTTTATTAATACAATCAGGTCAAAGTAATATATTTTGGACTTCGCTTACGAATGTGCGTAAAATACTAATTGCCATTTTAACCGTGAATACCAGAAACTGTATTAGTTATGTAATACATTATCTACTTGGCTCAGAGTCACGAGGTCCTGTCACCCTTTAAAAAATATTTGGGTCAGATATACTGTATTTCTAATTGCACCTGATCGCGCCGTGAGAACATAGTGTTCAGTAAGTGCCAAAGTTCTTGGTTTCTTCGTCTGTCACAAATTACAGAAATGATTATACCTCTCATTTTTTTTAAGGATTGTGAAGTTTAAGGCAGTGATTTCTTTAATTTGTGAATCATCGGACCATTTTATATTTATGGCGCAGAGTCCACTGTTTAGTGTGACATTTATATTCTCTTAGGTATAAATTTCTCAGACTGTTATGACCTAGACCGTGGTTTTGCTGGTCTATTAAGAATACAGTGTGTTTTGAAAAAGCTACGTCTTAAAAAGCGCTTCTACGCTTGTATATATTTGTACTTTACTCTTACAGGCACTCTAAATTAGGAGTTATTATGGTATTAGTAGTAGAACGAGTCTAGTGAGCGCAGCAAAGATACTGCGTTTGGAGTTAAAGCCCCTAGAACTCTCAAATATGAAAAATCTGACGATTAATCCTATTTTAAATTGACTTGTTCCATTTGGAATTCTTTCATTGTCTGATTACATCTCAAGCGCCTTCTAGTAAACAGATAGCAGCCTAATTACCATATACGTCATGAAATTATCGTGCCACTGGTGGTTGTCACCATTTAAAATTTGCATTACTTCTGATACGCTAGTCTACATTAAATTTAACGCTTCATTTGTCTAAAACGAGAACGCAAAATTGTATTTTAAATGCAACGTTAAATTTGGGCTGCAACTGGCAGAGGTACCAGGCCCACATTAAACGGCCTTATATAAGCTAGTAATTTATTGTCTTCAGGCTGAAATAAGGGGGCTCTATTTTCTTATTTCTGAAGTAAATATTAATCTACAGAGTCATCTTCATCGCCTCTACGAATTACAACCACACCATAAATCCCATTATCAGCACGTAGAGGCAGTAATAAACTTTAATTATCTAGACACTACTTTAAGGTGATTTACAGCGAAATGAGTTTGAGAACAGTTTCTTAGAAGATGGAGGTTGACTTCAAACAATTTTCTTAACAAACTTGAGAGCAATTTCAGCGGTGTATGATGACGATAGGCATTTACTTATCCGTCGCATAGCCATAGCATCAAATCTACGTCCTAATTCAAATTACGCAATTGTTTTCGTACTTTGAACGGCATATATGAATTCAATTATGTGGAGCGGATAAACAGAGGAAACAACGAATTGGTACTACTGAAACCTCTTGAAGTGATTTTAACGTACCAGTAGCCAACAGCTCCCCGCCCATTCCTTCTGGATTAAGTATAAATGTATGTGCGAATTTTTTTATCCTAAAGCTGCAGTCATTTTTAGTTAATTCAAAGTGCTAGGTTATTTTCGTGTTTATTTTCTTTTTCTTCGAGAGGTCTTTTTCGCTCACAATTCTTTCCTTTTTTGGTTGTCCGCATGTTTTTCTCCATTTTCTTCTCGTTACAAAGGCTAAAACAAGGAAACGTTGGGATTTTCGACTAGCGCAGAAGCAACTCAGGGATGCGGAGATTCAGAAATTTGAGTCTTTTCGAAGAGAGTATGACGATCTCGTGGCTAAAGTTCATGCGGAAGAATTGGCTAATCAGCGAAGAACGAAAGCCCTCGTAATAACTGAAATCAAACCCAATCCTAGAGCAGAAGCCATGGCTGCCGTTAGTTCAATTTTTGTTCGCACGCTCTAATTACATTTATGCGCAATTGCTTGTTTGCTTATAGGAGTAGAAGCACATCATCTGCGTGATCAAGAATTTATTATGATTACGTAGGTTTATTTTGTGTGGACTTGACTGAATCAAGGCTTTCCCTTCTCAGCAATTTGCCTCGTCCGTCTCTCAGACTGCCAAGACTGTGATCCGAAATTGTTGTATTTGTATATAATATATCTTATTCCCCTTCTTCGCATTTTCCTATCACAAGGCGTAGCATAATTAAGGAATTTATTTCTTTGGGTTGCATTTTTGTAGTATCTGAAAGTACTTTCGGTTATTCCTCCTTTGTTTTCAATCAAGCATGAAAGTCGAAGTTCATATGATCGTCATTGGAAGTGTAAATCTTGAACTATTTCTGGCGGTCACTAACTTCTCAAATATTCTGACTACATTTTCTCTTGTGAAAAGCCTGTTTTTGCATTTTTTAAAACCGCAGGTCGAGCGCAATCGGATGCTAAATGCAAAATCGGCCAATGTTGACATGAGACTGGCAAGTACTTTAAGAAACCGAGAAGAAGACGATGCTCGGGATCTTGCGCTTCGCAAAATGGTTCGTCAAGACAGGTAGATGACCCAACTTGCTCCTCATTTGGTAGCTTTCTAAACCACGACTGCTTGCTTGTTAAATTATGTGTGGCGAAGATTATGTGCACTTTGTCAGGCTACAGTCGATCCCATCCGTCCAGTAGAAAGGTTTTATTAGTTTGCCGTAATCCTTAACCTCCATGAAGCGCCAACAATACTCTCGTATCTTTCGCCTAGGTCGGAAATGATATCACATGACCGATATCTTCGGATCCACATAGGGTGGCAGGGAGGACAGACGGTTGATTACCTACCTTAAAGTCCTACCAGATATCCATCAGAGAAAAGTTGTCGGTTCGCAATCTAGGGCTCACCTAGTCCAGAGTATTTTCAACTTGATTGACTCACCACTTTTTAGTGAGGTTTTCCATAGGCGAAAAGATGGACCATTTGGGTCAATTCACCACCTGTAGGATAAATGTAAGAAGATAAAACTGAACGGTTAAATCGTTACGAGTAAAGTAATAGGAGTAGCCATTCATTGCGCCATATGCGTCCTCGTCAACTTCTCAAGAGTTCATAAAATTATAACTTTCCTGAAGTAACACACTGACTTGTATCCATTACACCTATCGGAAGTAAATCATACTTCTAAATCCGCATTAGATTATTGCGTTTTGTATGCCGATTATTTCTTAAGTCCCCTTACTTTTTTGTATTTTCAGTCCCGAATTGCGCCAATTGGAATCCC